CTTGAATAACGACAATCGTATATTTCAATAATGCTGTTTATTTGTGGAAGGTTAAGGAACTATTCATTCGTAAGAAATCATTATTTACCAGGTGTGCAAGATGTCGTGACATTTTCTGTTTCCAATGTTTCTATGATAATTATCACTAAAACTCATGCGATAATGAAATGGATACTTCCGACGAATGAATAATTCCTCAGCCATCCAAAAATAAACAGCATTATTGAAATTTACGGTTGTCGTTATTCAAGGACCATTTTTCTAATACCGCTCATTTGAAAATATAAATATCCGGACGAAAAATAATGTCTAAAAATATGTTTTTAATTAAGATTTCCGATTGATTTGAATAGATTTAATAATCAGTTGCAATATACAACATTTAAAATGTAAAAAAATGACGAAAAAGTACGTGAGACACCGGGAATCAAAGCCGAGCCTTTCACGTACCAGGTGAGTACACTACCACTTCAGCCATCTGGCCGCTCGAAAAATGGTAACGTCAGCATCCATATAGCGTACGTGCATATTTAAAACCCTTTTTCTCGAAAATGACTGAATAGTGGGTCCTATTATTTTAACATATTACTACTTTAGGGATGACCTATAACTGTGAGGAGTATGAATCCAAACAAAATTCCACACGTCGTAGTCTCTCCTTGTATGACTCAGAAGGGGGGTTTTCAAAAGGGTGATGAACTTAAGCAAATGGTGTATTCTCATACCGAAAACATTGCTAGGGGCGAAGGTATTAGGAAAAATATTACATCAATACATTTGTTACCTAGAAGAGAGTTTCAAAATATTCAGAGCTCATCACAATCTATTAAAATAAATACTAAAAAAGATAGTGATCAAACGAAGAAGGGTGAGTCTAAGAGAGAGACTATGCATTTTTTCCCTAGTGTTGAATATGAAAGTATTAGGTCTATAACGGATCTATTGGGTTGGGCATTTTGGAGAACACATCAACATTGGGATATTCAAGAATGAACAGCGTATGTTTTGTGATGTTATTTCTCTCGTCAACAAAACGTAACTCAACAAAATCGGAAATCGGGAGCGTTAGTGGTCTCCGCAAAATCGAAAAGGTTCGACGCCAGTTACCCACGAAGGAGTACCACGAGCCTGAGGTTCGTTCTGGATATAGTAAGACTCGTGACAGATAACTATTTCGGATTAACTGATTGCCACCAGGCAAACTAAATTTAATTTTGTTATCAGGCGAACTATACCTAAGGGCCACACGGCTACGCAATTTAGATAGGAGTACCACGGCCAAGAAAAAGTGCGAAGCGTAATTAACCTAAGGTTGCCGGGAACTCGACAGAATCGTAAGAAATCAAACCACGTTACGTCCCACAGTACGCCGCTTCAGAAGCTAATTCGTCGGAAGCGTTGCAGCGTTCAAGAGTTACGGAAGGAGGGAATCCAGCCAAGAACTTATGGGAAAGCGATAAGAAACACGACAATAAAATAATCCAAATTAATGAGTTTACGGACCGGAGCTGTATTAGGCAAAACAAAATTCAAACAGTCGATAGGCTCAATAGAAAAGATTATAAAAGCAACAGATCGGGCATTTGTAAGGTGCGAAAACCGGGCATAGGTTTACCAAGAATCTTAAACTTAATTCACAATAAGCGGTATAAAAGAAAGAAGCGATACAATCTAAAAGAAAGTTAGAATAAGATAATTTAAGATCGGAATCTAGAAGCGGATCCTATTTATCGGAATATCGCGATGGCGAAAAAAGTTGAACGTTAGCGTTCGCGCGAGTACGATGCGGGTTCGATACTTCATAAAAACAATATTCACGGAAAATAATACGGTCGGAATAATCCCATTATTCGGAAGAACCTAACCAAAATCAGAATAAATTAACCGTTCGGTCAATAACCAGGTACCCGGGTATCCATTTCAGTTTGCAATGTAGAATTTGTTAACTTCCCCTGAAAAAAATGTTTTGAACGCTCGGGTCCCCAGAGTTGAAGTAGTTTGACGTCAGTTTTTCGTCATAATTTTTTTAATTCATTCATTTAATAAAAGTTATTAACTATCAAAGTCGATACCTCCTCCGTTCAGTGACCGGGTACCCGGGTACTCACTTAGATCATTATGTATGAAAGCCGGGTTTATACACACTAGAAAGAGCATTTATTAAAGTATTTATGTAACTTGACTTTTTAATAAATAATCAACAATATAGTTTGTAATTTCCTTGATTTAAACAATTTTTATTATAAACAATAGTAACGGTAGTAGGTAAAAAAATATCATCCAGTTTTTTTATTTTAGTTATTTTTTCTTTTATTTATAATAATACAGTGGCATGTCAAAAAACAGGTAAATTTAATTATTTTGCACATTCCTGACATGTCGTGGTTGAAGTAGAATGTTCATCACAAATAGGTAACTCACATACAGAGCATGATTTCCGAGTTTTGCTAAGTTTTTTGAATTTGCTCTGGAGACAAGAATAGCATACACCAGTAATCTCTTTTCTCCAGGTTGAATCGAGCTGTGCCTGAGGTGTTGAAGATCCAGATGCTGTTGGCTGCACATATGGATTTATAGCTCTACCAAAAAAACTTTCAATCGCCACGTTCGTTGTGAAATGCCTCATGATTTGAGGATTATGCGAACGATCTTCGACGAATGGAGTACACAATGGAGTATACCGATAAAATAATCGTCGTTCATACGATTTTTTCGGAAGCAGTTTATTGTTCTCATAATAAAGAATATATGCAGCAAGGCAGGCGACATCGAGAATATTGTAGAAAAATGCTAGAGGCCACCTTTGAGTTGATCTTTTTGTAGTATATCGTCCAAGCATTTTATCCATCGTGTCCACTCCAGCTTTTGACCAGTTATAAAATTCAATAATTTCGGGTTTTTTCTTTGCGCTATCACCAATTTTGGCTTCCTAATGCATTGATGATAGCATAATCATTGCCTTTTTTTCTTTCGCACATAACTGCACATAGTTATGTTTTCATGAAAGCCAAACGCAGTGGATAATTCTTCTTGTGTTTTCAATGCAGCCATCGCTGGTGGAATGTACGTTTTATTTTTCTTCAAAGTGCCAACAATTGTTAAATCCCAGGATAGTAAAAATTTTGCCAATGACAGAGTAGTAAAGTAATTATCCATTGTAATGTTTCTACCGGATCCTTTGTACGGTGCTACCAAGTCTTTGACAACTCTCTCACCAACGTTTTTCTCACGACCGGCACTCGACTGTCCAGTGTAAAGCTGTCCACTAAGTGGATACGAATTTTCAGCATCACATATCCACTGATTCCACTTGATTCCATACTTGGCTGGCTTTGATGGAATATACTCAGTGAATTTAGTAAAGTTGCTCGTCGATTGTCAGGTGCTCTGGCTGTTGGCTTATAATTTTTTGCCAAATTACTATTCAGCATTGTCCAAATGTACCCGACGATTGTTGGGTTTCGCTATTGTTATTTAAAGTTCCACGAAGTTAACTGTAACCGCTTAGCCAAGTGGCGCGCAGTAGGTGGGTACCCGGTTATTGAACGAATGGTGAAAGTTCGGTTATTGACCGGACGGTTAACAAACTGGTTTTGGAAATAAATTAACAAAATAGTAATAATTTAACAAACGTTGGAGCGCAAGAAACGGCAAAGGAATGGAAGCGGAACGAGTACGCGGTTCCAATTCTCGCACGCGCGAAATTATAACCGCGATCGACAACGGTAATACGAGAGAGTCATTCAAAAGGAATTATAAATTAGCGTGAACTCGAGGAAATTATAATACGCGCAGGTTCTTCCAAAAGTTCAAAATCGCGAACACAGACAAGGCAACACCATAAATAAAAAGATCACAGTAAATGAGAACAGATTAGGGTACATAAAAATATCACAGTTCAGAAAATAACATATTATAATGGGCATTTAATTATCGTTGCGATGGGACAACGTTGTCGGAACGGGTAGTATAATTTCGAACCCGGCGGGAGGCTCGACGTCGAGGATAGTCAACAAGCAAGGTCGCCTCGGAACGCGACACGTCAGAGGACGTTCGCGATACGCAAAAATCACCAGGATTCCACAGATAATATAAAGGTGAAAATAGAATAATTTCCAGCAATGAAAATCAGATACGGCACACAAGCAAGAATTCATAAAATAAGAACAGAAGAAACCGCATACAAAATTAGGAATATTAACACGTTCCGTGCTACGTGTATCACCGGTGGTACACTCAGCCACATTTATCATATCAAATGGCCTGAACGACAAGTCAGGCAAAAAGGGCTTGGCACGGAACGTGTTAAATTAGGAATGGCACTTCAGAAAAATTAAAGAAAGTCGTACCACAAGAAAATTCAAATTATATTATAACAGTTCAACAGAAAAGATAGATAGAGAACAGTGAAGTTTCCAGACATTCGGAATAATAAGAGGCGTGAGTTCGCCACGAAATTTAAAGGAACTGACAGATTCGGAAATCTCAAAGTAATTTACAGTCTTAAGAGAATAGTAGTATTACGGTAAACAATATTTTATAATAATTGAAACATTCTAAATAGGCAGCGAGAGAATCTGGCTGTCGAACAACCAAGCGGTCAACCTGAGGTCAAACGCTCTGGCAGGCAGATTCCGACGCGTACACAAAGAACAGAAATCAAAAATCATATAAAAGAAAGTGCATCAAATCGAAAAACTCAAGAATACAAAATGATAACGGCACTATCGTCCTTTATACTATAATAGGCGGAAAGACATTTGCCTGATAACGGGAAAGGAAAATAGTCACCTGCTACACGGACGGTTTATCCGTGCGCGTGTCCATAATCTTCAATAAGAAAAGCAGCAAATATTAAAGAAAGCGAAAGATCTCACCACATAAAAGAAACGGTAATAGTAAAGCTCAATAAACTCAGCCCTTCAAGGCAGCGAAAAATAGCAAAATCGGCAATGGTATCTCTCTCTCTCTCCCTCCCCCTCTCTCCCTCCCACCCTGTCTCCCTAGTGCCTGGAAACGGTCATTTATCCGGCGGATCCCCAAGTCCCATCGCTCGCGGGCATCCTTGCCTGCGGATGTCAGCAGCTTGTGAAGCCCCTGGAAAGAATAGTATTTAAGTAGATTACTGAATTTCTCAAAACTCACGGAGGGTTCGATCCTTATGAATCCGCTTTTCGTACTGGGTTCAGTACTCAAACTGCACTCACACGTGTTCTTGATGACATTAGGTTCGGTATTTATAAGCGGATGGTAACCATCTTAGTCCTCTTCGATCTTCGGAGAGCATTTGATTCTGTCTGTCATAAGAAGTTGCTTGAAGCTCTCTGGGCCCAAGGATTCTCAATTCATGCTCTTCGCAGGTTTGCATCATACCTCAGCGGGCGATCACATGCGGTTATCGGATCCGCGGATTTGGTTTCCTCGATCACTGCTGTTCCCTCTGGAGTGCCATAGGGGTCTGTACTGGGACCTGCGTTGTTCTTACTGTACATCAAGGAGATGACGAAAGTTATTCAGAACTGTGCTTATATGCTATATGTGGATGACTTGCAAATATACCTTCACTTTAGAACGGATGATCTTGTTAGTGAGTTGGACCGCGTACAGGACGACATTGACGTCTTGAATTATTGGTTTCAGGATAACTGTCTTGCAGTAATCTGTGGCAACAATGAATGTATGATCTTCGGTTCGACTAGATATTTGAGCCGAATCGATTACGGTAATCTTCCGTGCCGGACGGTCCAATATAGAATTCGTTTCCCATGTTACGTCCGACGCAACTACACCCTATAAATTCCACCAAACGCCCCTGCACTATTCTTTTGCGATCAGGTCTTACGCGCACCTAGCTCCTCCTCAGTATAAGTTAGAAATAAGATACTAATAGCCATAGAACTGTAAGTCTATGGGAACGGTTCCTGTGCCTCGACAGAGAGACAGAGAGACAGAGAGACAGAGAGACAGAGAGACAGAGAGACAGAGAGACAGAGAGACAGAGAGACAGAGAGACAGAGAGACAGAGAGACAGAGAGACAGAGAGACAGAGAGACAGAGAGACAGAGAGACAGAGAGACAGAGAGACAGAGAGACAGAGAGACAGAGAGACAGAGAGACAGAGAGACAGAGAGACAGAGAGACAGAGAGACAGAGAGACAGAGAGACAGAGAGACAGAGAGACAGAGAGACAGAGAGACAGAGAGACAGAGAGACAGAGAGACAGAGAGACAGAGAGACAGAGAGACAGAGAGACAGAGAGACAGAGAGACAGAGAGACAGAGAGACAGAGAGACAGAGAGACAGAGAGACAGAGGGACAGAGGGACAGAGAGACAGAGAGACAGAGAGACAGAGAGACAGAGAGACAGAGAGACAGAGAGACAGAGAGACAGAGATTGATTGATTGATTGATTGATTGATCGTTGCTTTATTAGCCTTCTCGGCTACTTTTACACTTCCTATATTCTTTCTTGGCAGTATGATTACAGTTTTTGTACATTTCTTTATATTTACTTATTTAGTATCCATTTCTTTATTTCAATTTTAAAATGTTTTAGACTCATAATTTCTTTTAAATGTTTCGGCACTCTATTATACATTTTTAGTCCATTATACATTATGCTTTTTTGTGCTGCTGTTGTTTTTCTGTATTCTATTATTATGCTTTGCGATTGTCTCGTTGTTCGTCCCGTGTTTTCTTCTCTCTTTTTCATTCGTTTTGTTTCTTCTTCCGAGAACATTCCTTGTGCCATCTTATATACAAAAATTATTACGTTATATTCTAACCTTTGCCTTATTGTCATAAAATGTAATGCTTCGTGCATTTTTTTAACGCTTGTAAATCTGTTAACTTGTAGGATTGTCCTCATAGCTCGATTCTGTGCCTTTTGGAGTTTATCTAGTTCCTCCTCCCCCATGTTAATCATTATTGTAGAACAGTATTCGAAATGTGGACCTATGATTGTTTTATATACCGTACAACGTGCGTAGTCCGATAAAAAATTTCCTATTCTATTCAAAAAGCTGATTTTCCTTCCCACTTTTTTTAAAACGTATTCACAATGTTCCTTAAATAATAGTTTATCATGTATCATTACCCTTAAATATTTTATCTTATCAACCATTTCAATGTTCGTGCCGTCTATAGTT